TTTTATCTTTCTGCCACTTTGTCTCGATTGCGGTTGACACCTGGTGCTAACAGAAGCGTTACATATGGTTGTATCAGGATGTTAACAGGACGCCACTTTCGTAGACATTTTCTAATAGCGATTAAATTTCGGCACCTCTTGTACAGTGCTTTGACGTTCGGTTGGAGCAAGTCATGAGAGTTATGCCTACCACGAGGACTAGGCGGTGGTGACTTACGGGTCTCCTTGTTTATCGTGCAGTCTGCACTTGTGATGAACCAACCTGACCATTATGAAGTTCACTATGCTCCAGTCGAAACGTGATGTCAAGATGACAGGTATTGGGCGTGAAAACAGCTAAACGCGCCGCCTATGCGTGCCCCAGACGATCTGGATCATGAATTTCTACATAATTGACGTTAAGAAGAGATTCATGGATCTTATATTGGTAGGAGTACCATGAGGACCACACGAGGAAGGAGCAATTGCATTCTGACTCTCGTTCCCTAAGGAGGACCGAGTTCTCCCATCAGCTGACAACCTTATCAGCCATAAACACTGGCGTGTAATTATAGTTTCAACTGGCTCATAGCTGCACTTACTTCGCTCTCCTTTCCTGTTCTCGCATCCCCGTAGTCATTCCGAGTCTGCTTGACTGGGGCTGAGCTTAGGTGCAATGATTGTTGTGACATTAAGACCCGCTGACCTTTAAATGCTCTGGTTTGTGATTAATTGAGGTGCCAAGTTTTGGTTAATACGCTAAATACTGTCACCTCCGATATTTTCGCGTCATGTTGAGACTACGTTTTTTGCCTAGGCCATTATGCTCGAGGGTCCTCTGCCGTTGAAACAAGGCACCACAGATCCTAGTCAGGTGCTTTCGGTTTACACCGGGCCTGATTGTTTTCACACTTGTGTTACTGAAGACGCACAGTAATCTGCTCCGCAGTAGCTGTAGAGAGGCTTTTTTTCATTGGGAATGTTTCTGCTCGTTCATGGGTTATTGTGTGCAGAATATTTGTCGACCAAACAAGGATCTAATGAGTGTCATTTTATAATCTATGCAAACATGTTTGACACAGCGTGATATGGGCACTTAATGTGCTTGTGTTTTTACATGACGGCGTTGCAGCTGTTCCAGTAGAACGACCATGGGCGAAGGGAAACTTTATTAACATATGACTGCTTCCGACCCACCAGCCGCCTGCACCCTCTCTCGCCTCCGGTTGTATTGACTTGATAATGACACCGGGTCCAGGTGGAACAGTGGGGGGGGAGAGAGAGTGAGACAGATGCAGCGCAAGTATTGCTGTTACTATAAACTAATTCACGTCCGATTAACCGTCCCTGTGCAATGCTGTTGTGCAGCACATGGTGGACCGCGTGAGATACGACGGTCAAACTGTCTGAACATTGACCGTTCTCAAACCTTGCCCTTGCTGTTGTGGGTTCGAATCCCACCGAGGCCTCTGAGTTTTTCACAACTGAGTCGATGGATCTATGCGCAAAACCAACCATGACTTATTCCCAACCTGTAATCTATCGCTTATGACATCGAAGATGCTGGATTTAAGTTTTCGCATTCTCATCATTTCGCGTTTGAATGCTTATTTTTGGTTGAAGCGATGATCGGATCGTGCACGGTTCTCTTTTCACATATTTTTTCATAAGAAGGCAAATGCCACAAGTTAACAGTAGTGCCAACTTACCTGAATTGTCATGCGTTCAGATAAACTTCACCTTCTCCCTAAAAACCGTTTAACGGACAAACTCTCTACGTTTCGTACCATTAGACTTTCTGTACACATGAACCGTCCCGTTGATGCTCATTCAAAATTTTCACCGATTCATGTGTTTATATTTCGCATAGATTTAAACCAAACAAATCTTACTCAGAACTAGTTTGGTAGGGCATTGACCTTTGTAGAACACAATTATGGGTATTACAAAAAACATTGGTCTAAGAAAAAAAGCCTTTACACTTGAAAGCTTAGCCTCAAGACAAAACACGGAAGGTTTTCAATGCCTCGATAAAAAAAACGAATTAACGAAAATCAAGCCTTTCCGCCGATGATTTTCAAGGGCCCTGTGCTTCGTAAACCCTCTAAAATAGGTCGGGGCCATTATAACTTGTCGAGTCTTCACCGTCTGTCGAGGACATATTTGGGCACACTCACGTTATATTAAATTGGCATCATTCATCATGAAATTGCATTTAAAGTTAATGCTTTAATGGTTCAGTGATGCATGCGACGTCGAAAAATAATTCGGTTCCCATATTTCGTGCCATCTCATTTTTTTCTCTGAAACTACTGCCATAGGAAGCTTACTGCCTCCACGGTCATCGTCCTTCATATCTTGGATTTTTTTCTGACACCACATATTTCTCTGCCTATCTGCGCAAGGAAATGAGTTACTCTTTAAAAGAAACGCCACCACTCCGTTGGTTGATGCCTAAATGGTGTTGCCTAATGCGATAGATTTGATTTGATAAGTTGGTCTGTTTGATGAATGTGTACTGGTATTTCGTACGCCTCGCTTCTAGCCAGCAACCGTCACAAATAGTCGCCGATATTGCCACCAATAAAAGTGACTTGACTTCTCTGCTCACCCTACCCTTAGACTGATTTATTGTCCCCGCTCTTCGCTTACAGAATCCTTCCAGAATCAAACAGTACAATCAACTAACTGTACTCGATGACTTTGACTCCTTGGATGAGGACTCGGACGACGAAGAGAAAAAGCAGAAGAAATCGGATTCACAGGAAACAAAACCTTTGCAAAGTTTGCCAGAAGTCCGCCAGTTGCCATCGGAGACCCCGCAGACGGTCACCAGGACGCCATTAGCGCAGGAGGAGAGGCAACCGATCTCACCACACACATCCTCCGGTAATCCGGTTGAAGAAGATCAGTCAGTCCGTAAGTGTTTCCTCAAGAGAGGAGAAGTAGGGATGTATTTTTTATGGCACTCTTGTTAGCGACACACAATCAACCAAAAGTCTTGAAGTCCTGATGTCCAGTTTTGTCACCGATTTCCTGAACGCATGTTTAACAGCGTTGCGCCTCATTGATCGGGTCATGTGCACCAACCACACAACTGGATTACTCTGCAGTCATTTCGCTGCGGCTTGTCGGACACTCTGCCTCCTTAGTACAACACCCATTAAGCAAATACACTAGATAGATGTGCCCGGCCAGTAGTTAAAACTGCTGTCCTGCTATTGAGGTCGACAACTTTTCGGTAGGATTTGCCTCACCCGACTGCGTGTATAAAGTTACTTACTAACTCGATCTTTTTGGAGCAAATTTGCTGCGATCTATTTTTTTTCTCGGGCAACAGCACAGCTCTTCTCAGTTAAGGCTGCAGGGTCTTCTTCGTAAGTATGGAAGAGTTTAAGTAGATTGTTTATGACGTATTCGGCGTCGTCAGCCATCTGCAATCTCCAGTCTAAACATGTGGAAGACCTGAACTCAAGTCATTTTTTTCGGTGCAGAGTGACACCCAGCTAGGATCTGACGCCCGTTAGGTGCACTCGGTAGTCTTCGTATAGATTGTGTGGCTCCGTAGTTTAACGAGATTTTGCGGCAGAATACATTTGCTGTATTGGTACTTACTCCAGTTATTTTAGTCCGATAGAATGTGGGATTATACATAGTTGGATGGCAGTTTTGACTGTCATTGCCTCGTTCGACTCCATATTTAGTAGCAATCATATCCCATAGGCTCCTTTTGTTTTACGAGTCATGCTTATGGCTATTGCTTTCAATTCTGTACATCCCTCCGGAAGGGTCTGCACCGTTCATTTCGGCTCAGATAGGGGGGAGGGGAGCGCAACTGATAATGCCGCACAGCAAAAGTTACAACTCGGTACCGCGTTGGCTACTGTACCTTATGTCCATCATTGGTTGTCTTGTTTCAAACTCGCCAATTGTACCGCGTAGGAGAGGGGAGGCTGTGTTTATGCTGAGTAGATTCTGTTCCTCCCAGGTCTTTAGGAAAGGTCCTTTGTAATTGCCTTCCCCAACTCTTTGACAATCACTATAATCCATGTGACGTCGGCAGCCATCCGTATCCTACTTCCTCCGTACTACTGTTTCACAGGAGTAGTAGTGATCATCGTTGACTCTGATTGATGATCTAAAGGAAACTTCCACGTGATCACGTTCATTTGGTTGGCACTAACCAGCGTTCTCCCTTTCTTTTTTCCCCTTTTAGTTTCCGGTGGAGAAGAACTTCCACCCGTCTGCTCGACTGATGGTGAGAAT